ACATAAGGAATGTGTCAGGGTTATCAAAACTGGATTTAACACAAGATAGGAGGTGAGGTCAAGAATATGTCAGAAGAAAGATGAGATGTGTATCCTACTGCTCCTTAAGTTCTTATCTTAAGGTCCGTGGGATAGAGAATGAGAGCCCTCAGCTTACCCTATTAGTGACAGCAATCATTTACTTGAACACATGTGCCAGGATTATATAAATGCTTTTTAAATATCTCTTCTTTTAATTCTCACTGTACCTCCATGAAGTAGGGGTGTTTATTAACTCCATTTGACGATGAGGAAACAGGCTTAGAGAAATTGAGTAACAAGTCGAGGGTTACACAACCAGGAACAGAATTGAGACTTGAACCTTCATTCAAATCAAGGGCCCATGCTCTTCGTTAACCCCTGTACCCTACTTTTTAGACTTTTCCTTTACCGACTGGTGCCTTTTGGATCAATTGAAAATGATTGCTCTCATTTATACGATAAAAAAAAAAATGAATTCCGCTTGTGTACTTCCTTATTTTGTCGCTGTGTCCTAGTCTTGGTCTTAGTTGCCTTTGCTCCTCTTATTTCCCCTTTGAGGCTCAATCTCAGTGGAACAGGTGGTCAGAGGAAGGCTCTATGTGAAGGTGTTCAGTGAAACAGTGGTGCCTAAGAGTCATGCTTATTAAACATGAGTTACTTCATTAGTCAGAGGCATAGGTGGTTAGCCTTTGATCTGGGCTGCTCTCCCCCCATTTTCTATTAGTTTCCTCAGTTTCCTCACCACATCCCCATTTGTTTGAGGCTTTTAAAGCACTTGTTTGCCCCGTGATTTATGACTAATGTGGGGATGAGGTCATCTTAGTTTTCATTGGAGTTTTTTTCACCAGCAATTTCTCCCTAAAATTTACCTCTTTATGTAAATATACTCCAAAGTATACTCCACTTAGTTATTTGGAAAATGAGATCTTTTCATGTGTAGGTAAGTTGTACACGTGCTGACCTGGCTCCAGATTTATCTCATTCAGACAGGGAGCTGTCATGGCTGTCAGGACTGGGTATGACAGCTTCAGTCTGCTCTGAGCCATGTGACTTTGGACAAATCCCTTAATGTTCTACTTCCTCATCTATAAACTGGGGTAGTAGGACCTGGCCCACTTGTAAAAACAGCTGTCAGATAGGGATTCTTTACCAGACCCTGGAGGTGAATATGGCTCTCTCGAAGGAGGGCATATCCTCGTTTTACAGGTGAGGAGACTGCCTGTGGGGCATAGCTTATGTATTACAGAGCCTGATTTTGAACCCAGATTTTTCTGATCACACAGCACACACTTTTTCTATTGTATACATATTATATCTTTTATTTATTAAAAAAAAANGTCGATAGGAAATGACATTTGTTTGTGTACTTGGTCAGTGTTAAATTTTCACTACTAGAATGTGAACTCTGTGGGCAGGCAGCTTGTCTCTCCTGCTTATGTGTTTCCTGGTCCCTAGAACAGTGCTCAGAAAATATCTGGAGATTGAATGAGGATGACGATGGCATCCACATTTAATAACATTTTAAGTTAATGTGTTTTTGTTGTTTTGAGTTTGAGAGCCTGGCAGAAGGGTGAAGGGAAAGAATGTGGACAGTGGGGCTGGGCAGGCTTGACTGCCATTTCCCAGGGCTTCCATGTTGAAACTTTCCTCATCTGTAATACAGGAGCATGAAGTGAACCTTGCAGAGAGTTGTCAGGGTTAAATGACAAGTGTCTGTGAAGCTTTTGGTGTTTAGTGGGCTCTCAGGTGGCCTCCCACATCCCCAGGTGGCTCAGCAGGGAATTAGTACTGAAGACTTCACTGTAAGTCATTTGCCACCCACCACCTTTATAATATTTAGGTTATTAAAAAAACAAAAAAAAAGAAAAAAACAAAACAAAAACCTTACTTTTTTTTATTATAAAAGTGGATATAATCCTTAGAAAATTTGGAAAATAGTGAAAACTAAAGAGGAGTTAATAAAAAGCCCACCACCTGAAGAACTACACTAAACATTTTGATGTTAATGGATAAGCTTGGACTGACATTTTCTGAACAGAAAACATTCTTGTTTGTGCATCAGCTTCCCTTCATAAAGCATTTAATCATGCCATAGTGTTTTAAAAAAAATTTTTTTTAAAAAGATTTTATTGGGGATTGGGGGAGGGGAACAGTGTTGGGGAATTGGGGAAGGGGACCAGCCAAGTTGTTTGTTCTTCAGTCTTCATTGTGGAGAGCACCAGTTGCCATCTGGCTGCCCGTCCGCAGCTCGTGGCCTCTAAGCTCAAGGTGCTCTGTGTTCAATCTTAGTTGTGGGTGTCTGTAGCCACCATCCCATGCAGGAGTCGAACCAGCAGCTTTGTTGTTAAGAGCGCATGCTGTATCCACTGAGCCATCTGGGCAGCAGCTCAGCTCAAGGTGCTGAGTTCAGTGTTAGTTACCACTATCCCATGCAGGAGTTGAACCAGCAGCCTTGTTGTTAAGAGCACACGCTCCATCCACTGAGCCATCTGGGCAGCCAGTTCAAGGTGCCGAGTTCAGTCTTAGTTATGGGTGGGCGTGGCCCACCATCGAACAGGCAATCTTGTGTTGTTACACCAGCTAAGCCATCCTGCCACCTGTTGGCAGCTCAGCGACAGCTCAGCTCAGGCACAGGGTCTCTGGCTCATATGGGAATCGAACCGGCGGCCCTGTTGCTCAGAGCTCGCGCTCTTAAACCAACACTTAACCAACTGAGCCACTCGGCTGGCCCCCTTAGTGTCTCTTATAGTTTAACATTTTATACCAATCACATTAAAATGGGACCTAAATTTTAGGCTGGCTTGGTGTTTGGCAGTTCATTTCAGGTCATGTTTATGTGTGAAAATCCAGTGGATTTCATACCTGGAATGAATCCTAGTGTCTCTGATTTAGCCTCTTGGGGAAGGAGGCAAGGCTTAAAAATTTAGAGTTCCCAACAGAAAATACTTGCTCTCCCTTGCATGCCTAATAATGCAAACCTTTTTGTTTTCCTCACATGCTGTAGAAGATGGCAGTGAACGTATATTCAACGTCAGTCACCAGTGATAACCTAAGTCGACATGACATGCTGGCCTGGATCAATGAGTCTCTGCAGTTGAATTTGACAAAGATCGAACAGTTGTGCTCAGGTAAGAGAAATCCACTAGACCTCTTTTCCAGGGAAGCCTCAGGTCCTTCAGGAATGTGCAGGCCTGTGTCTGACTGCAAAAGCTACAGGCTCAGGTTCTTTGTTAGGGATGCCCCATATCTTCTTTGCAGCTCTGAAAGGAACTGTACAGAAAGAGGGCATGCTTCTGGCTGTGAGGCCACATCTCCCGCTGTAGAGACTGCATTCTGTGGCCTGCAGCTTAGCCCTAATGTCTCCATCTGTGCTCTTTTGCCTCCAGACTTGAAATGTTTTGTTTGAGGAAAATAATGGTAATTTTTCTAGTTTTATATTAGTTCATTAGTTCATTTCTTTTTCCAAGTAGCATAAGACCAAAGTTNCCAAGCCAACTCTTAGCCAACGCACGCCACTTGGCCGGCCCATGATGTGCTTTTTACTGAAATTTCTCATTTAACCCTCACCACTACCTTGTGTAGAAGATACTGTTCACCTTTCACAAGTAAGCCATTTGTGATCCAGAAAGGTGAAGTGTGGTCCAGGGTCACATCACTTTTTTCTGGTAACATCTCCCGCCTCCTCTTTCTATAGGGCTCAGTATGGTGCCTTGAAAGTAATAGGGTGCTCGTCATTAGCATTGAATCAGAATGGGCTTGGGAGCCTGCTAGGAGAACTTCCCAAGGAGAGATAACTGGGGAGGCAAGAGGGAACTTTTTCAAGGCAGTGAAAACCTGGATCAGGGAGTTATTTAATGGTCAGTTTTGTGTGGTGGTTGTGGAGGCCATTGAGGCCAAGCAGTGTCATTCTGTGGAGGAAGAACGAGCTGTCACTAGCTGTAGCTCTGAGAACTGGGCTCTGTTTTGACTGCCTGGAAGAGCCAATTAATTGGTTGAATCAGTGGATGTTTATTGCACATCCACGGGATGCCTAACCACATATATTTAGTGGCTGCAGAATTTTCGGAACACATGGGACCAGATATTAATATACTGCTAATGAAAGAGTTTTAAATTATATGATGATGACAGGCCATTAACGTTTTCTGAGCTGGGGTGTGGTCACAAGGCACACGTGGCTTAATTAGCTGCTTACATTTTATGGTAACATGACACACACAATACCGGATGTATGTATGAATATTGCCAAAACAGATTACAAGTGCTCAGCCTAGGACCATGTTTTTTGTTTGGATGTGTCTCTCCTTGGTACCTGATAATAGCATTTTGCATACAACATGCATGTCATTTATTCATTCATTCAGGGATTTTAAACCAGGGAGACACTTGATCTGATTTGTGATTCAGAAAACTCTCTCTGGCTGCTGTGTTAGAACAGACTGAGACAGAGTAATTTGAAGGCTGTTGGAGTGGACCCGTGTGAGAGATGGTGGTGTGGTAGGTCTGTTTTTGGCACTGGAGTTGGGAGAATGAGTGCAACAAGGTCCCTCCCTGCCCTGGACCTAATACCTGTTATGTGTCAGCATGCTGAGTATGTTATGTACCTTTTCATTTAAAACTCACCTCAGCCTTTTCAGATAGGTGGCATTTAACTCACAAGATAACTGAGGTGTGTTGAAGTTTACTTACTTGCCCAAGGTCATACAACTAATGAATGACAGCCTCTAGTTCAAATCCAGGTCCTCCTGGCCTGAAATTCTCAGCTCTTTGCATAGAATATATTGCCTTCTGGCCCAAATGTGGTCCAAGGATGATTCAGAAATGGAGATAATGACAGTCCATTGT